TTCTTCCATGTCTACAGCTAAAGTGCACCTTTAAACAGATGGCGCCACACTCGACTGGGCTCGAGCCAGCCTACCTAGAGATAGATAGAAAGTGAACTTTAATTGGTAAATAAAGATGAAAGAAGTAAAAGTAAATGAAAAATGGTCTTTGAAGGAACGGTACAAAGAATGGGCAAATTCATCAAGTCAAACCATCACATCCTTTACTCTGTGACTTACAAACCCTTATGTGACATCGTTAATCTTCCAGAGACATCTGATCACAGCAGGGATCCCATGGAAGCATTAAAAATATATAAGATAACTAATTCGTTATCAACAACCATATTTCTTGGGTTGGGTATCAACACCAACAACGACCGGCAATATAAAAGAAGGAGCCGGGGTGGACGTGGGTTGCAAAGTGGCTTGCAGGTAGGTGTGCAGCAGCTTTGGAGAGGCTGAAGCAGTTTGGTCAATCTGATATCCTTGTGTCAGTGTTGTTTATGCACCAACATTGGATCTGACCAATCACAGTAGCCGTGTGGTGATGTCATAGTTTTGTGACTTGGAAAAAAAACTGCAGATGTCCACTCAGGACAAAAAAATCTAACAAAGACGGTGGTTAGGGTGTGACTGTGTTTCCCAGAACTTTGGCATCACCACAGTGTGATTGGTCACTTTAACCTGGACCAACATCAGTGATGATGATCCAGGAACAACACCAACACGACGACATCAGATCAAGTTGTTAGCAAACTGAATGTTCAGCTGAGCACTCAGATCAGCTGATCTGCCGGGATAACAGCTAGAGACCCCGCAGGGGAGTTTGCATGACTCAGCAGGATCCTTCCTCTTTTCCTAAGGACGCAGTTTAGTGAAGGAACCAGCTCCATTTGTCTGTTTGAGGATTTTTTGCAAGGTTTAACGCTCCAGGAGGATAAAAGCAGCACAGCCATCTGCAGGAAACACGGCTGTTTGGTCCCTTGACGGTGAAGCGAGTGCCCCGATGACACTATCACTCCACTGCACGACAGCTCCATAGAAAATTCCCAGAATGCACTGTAAAAGGCAGTGAGCATCACCGCTCGCTGTGCTCACTGAGTGGAAGTGACATCACTGCTCTTCCACTTCAGCAGAGCTCGGGTGGAGCTGGAGTCGCTGTGCAGCGAGCAGACATGTGGCTGCTGAAACAAACAGCATCGATGCTTCTGAACGCACTGCTTTTATTTCACGAGCTGCGACTTCTCAGACGTGTCGCAGGGCCCAAACCCACAACAGCCCTGCCCAAGTGAAACCCAGATCAGACCCCCGCTGTAGCACAGCAGAGTAAGAAGGTGGATAAAAGTGGAGCGAGGGCAGAGCTGTGCGGATATTACATTTCACAGGTGACTTATTCTGCACCGCTGCATCACATTTGCAGTCGTAGGAGAGCGAACGTCATGATCACGGCTCCCAGGGAGTCATGTTGCAGATTCATTGGTGTCTCAGCGCTCACTGACGCAGGACTCAGGAAATACACTGTGCAGCGATGCAGTGGCTGACCCGGGGCGATCCTGCACGCTCTCACACTCCTGATCTCTGCTGGCAGCCAGAGAGTCCTGCATCTGTTCAGCTATCAATTATTTTAGCTTTCACGCAGTATTTGCACCATGCATGAAACAGAATCTTTCTTTCATAGTCCTGTTTCAAAATGCTTCCCGGTACACACTCGCCCCGTGCTTTAAGTATTTACTGCAGTCTAATGAAGGAGAGGGGAAGGTAAACAAATGCAACACATTCGTTTGAGTTTGCATTTTTTTAAATGCTTCAAAATGGATCAAATTAAGAGCAGTAGTAGTGTTAGTCCACTGTAAATGTGTCGGTTGTTGTCATGAATCACAGGAAAATCCCTGAGGACGTCGTTCTCATCGCGTCTTTAAGCTCACTGCTTTGGTTTCTCTGAGACTGAAATGTGCAAACATACATGGAAATGCAGCAAATCAGGCAAAAGCAGTGTGTGTCCAACTCTAACAAGCTGTAAAGTGAGCGTTTGGTGTGAACACCTTTGTCCTTCAGCACAGACTCAACTCTGAGTATCTCCAGGAAAAGTTCTCCAGGCTTCTTGAAGGACATTCAAAGCATTTCTTTAGGTGTTCCTGCCTTTAGCGCTGCTGCTCCAGCACCACCTCTGGTCCCAAAGCTCCGCCCACAGTCCTGTCTTCGGATATTTAAGAAATGTGGTGCGATCGGCTAATAATTCAAACATTTTAAAACCAATAATCCTGTGCACGTTTAAAAGGACAAAGGACATGTGCTCACTTTGTCCACGCAGCCATCTGTCTGTGACAGCAGAGAGCTGCTCTGAGTGAAATCCTCACCTACCAACAGGTAACAGGAGCTACGTCCACCTCTGCAGCCAGCACACCCACTGGAAACGCTTAAGATGAGCTGCGGGTGTTTACTGCACCCAAGTGACCAAAACTGAAGCATTCAAGCACGTTAAGGGGTCGGCTGCAAACCGACGCACAGGTGCACAAAA